CGTAAAGCTGGAAATTTAACATACGGTCGCCGATATAAAAGATGGACTTAAAACTGCTGTCAGATGGTACGAGATTTGAAGTCACCCACTGAAAGCTATTGGGACAGTGACGATATCACGTGTACGTGACAAAGTCAAGAATTCCGTTAAATAATTATGTTCAACTGACACGTAAATCTGAAAATTTAACATACGGTCGCCGATATAAAAGATGGACTTACAACTTCTGTCAGACGATACGAGATTTGAAGTCACCCACTGAAAGCTATTGAGAAAGTGACGATATCACGTGTACGTGACAAAGTCAACAATTCAGTTAAATAATTATATTCAACTGACACGTAAAGCTGGAAATTTAACATACGGTCGCCGATATAAAAGATGGACATAAAACTGCTGTCAGATGATACGAGATTTGAAGTCACCCACTGAAAGCTATTGAGAAAGTGACGATATCACGTGTACGTGACAAAGTTAACAATTCCGTTAAATAATTATTTTCAACTAACACGTAAAGCTGGAAATTTAACATACGGTCGCCGATATAAAAGATGGACTTAAAACTGCTGTCAGATGGTACGAGATTTGAAGTCACCCACTGAAAGCTATTGGGACAGTGACGATATCACGTGTACGTGACAAAGTCAGTAATTCCGTTAAATAATTATGTTCAACTGACACGTAAAGCTGAAAATTTAACATACGGTCGCCGATATAAAAGATGGACATCAAACTGCTGTCAGATGGTACGAGATTTGAAGTCACCCACTGAAAGCTATTGAGAAAGTGACGATATCACGTGTACGTGACAAAGTCAAAAATTCCGTTAAATAATTATATTCAACTGACACGTAAAGCTGGAAATTTAACATACGGTCGCCGATATAAAAGATGGACTTAAAACTGCTGTCAGATGGTACGAGATTTGAAGTCACCCACTGAAAGCTATTGAGAAAGTAACGATATCACGTGTACGTGACAAAGTCAACAATTCCTTTAAATAATTATGTTCAACTGACACTTAAAGCTGAAAATATAACATACGGTCCCTGATAAATGGACTTAAATCTGCTGTCAACAACGGACTTGTTAACCAACTGAACTGCACAGTGACAAGCAGAAGTACTTGACACTGAGAATTTTTTAAACAATTTGCTATTTCTGTTATTGCTACTGATCGAAAACTTTGGATAACTTTAGATAAAATTTCACAACCGGGCAATTCAACACGCATGAACTAAATTGATAAAGTCAAACAAGCGACATAAAAATATATATTTTCTATAATTTTTTAAATATAAATGACAATAGGAAAACTGTAATAGTTGCTGTTATTTATTGTATACAATATACAATTGTGGCACAAGGCCTAAAAAGCGGAGGGGTTGAGGCTGGTCTTCACTATCATATACCTAGCTAATTCGATTCACAATCCATTCACTCGTTACAATTTTCCCATTCACCACAAAAACTCATCCATCACCAATCAATCCTCCATACACCATAATACCGCATCCTCTCAAGGGAAGCCTACAAAACGCATCCCATGCAATAAAAATTTTAATGTTGATAATTACTTATATTTACAATTTTATGATGAAAAATGAGAGGGGAGGGAATGAACCCCAAAACAAATTAAACATAGACACAATCTGAACTAAACATAACTGATATTAGTAGGGCCCGTTCAACCCTCAAAATGACAGGCCGCTGTATTCTGCCCATTGGACAAAATCAAGAAGCTCTCTTGCTAAAGGAGTGGGAAAAGTGAAAATATAGACGGACATGGGAAATAAAAAGCTGACCCAGTCGAGATGAAAAGGGGCCAAAACAAACTGGTGAGGTTGGGAATCTCGACTTGGATCATAACCAAAGAGGATGCCGGGAACAGGCCGGGAACAACATTTACTCACATTAAATAGGTACACAAAGCTTGTCCCACCTAACCAAGGGGAGGGATCACAAGAAACCACCCCGATGTGACGTAGGCTGACCTAAAAAAGAAAATCAAGGCTAGCCCCGTTCAAACGAAGCTCGTCTCGGTCACCCACCTTTCGCTGAAGACTGTCGAATGCCGGTGTTTTCTATCAGTTCTTATCTTCATCTTGAGCTGATTCTCAAAGAATCGTATCAGATCCTGATCAGAAAGACGGATACCCCGCAAGACTTCCTCCTGTCGCGTTGTCCATATCACCATTCGGGCCGTGGCCTTGCAGCGTCCGAAACACCATCCATTTCACTCCGGAATACGGGGGCGACCATTGTCACACGCGTATGCACGATCAATGAGGACGAGCTTTTCGGGAGAGAGACCAGCCGTCAGCTCGCCGACATGGTTCCATAAGGGGCGGACACGGAGACAATGGTAGAATGCGTGCGAAGCCGTTTCCTCTAAACCAAGGCCTCACCGTTCACAGTCTGGCAAATCCGAAGACCATATGAAGACCTTATCATTGAGAGGCAGCCGATTTCGAGCCAGTCGCCAGGTCAACGCCCAAGACCAGTAAGAGCGAAACTCCTCCGACAACAAATCGAGCTCCTCACATAGGGAATCCTTCGCAACCCCCTCCACTAAAAGACGACAGAAGACCTTCCTAGGCCGAGAAAGATCACTGGACCGAGGAACAGCCAACAAGGCGACCGACACTCGCGAAGAAAATCCGATTGATCCCGGGGTTTACGATGGCGCTCAACCCGCGAAATGGAGGACTGATAGTAAGGAAAGGGAACGCATCCCTAACAATCCCCGCCATAATCGAATCTCCCGTCAATGCGCGGCGTAGGAAAGCCAACCTCGAGGCGAGTTTGGGGCTCACCAAGTGTGGCATTCCCAGCCCCCATGACCCGGACGTTGTGCACAGACTCGTCTCTCGGGAACTGACTGCAAACACTCCTGCAGGATCTTGGCCAAAATCTTTAACTCTGTGTTTGGCAGAGTTATGGGCCTGTAATCATCTAGTTTCCCCCAACACCCTTGCCCTTTTTCAACAGCATGCTCACACCCCTGGAGAACCGGTGGGGGAGGTACCCCTGCCGGAACCTGTTGTTGAACACCACGTTCAAAATCGGGACAAAGATGTGCGACAGCCTCAAGTACAATTCCTAGGGCAAACCATCCAGACTGGGCAACTTGCCTCTGCCGACCTTTTTCAATGCCGCGTAGACCTCGCCCTCCGTGATCTCTCCTTCGCAGTTAGCCGCTTCAGTCGGCGAAAGCCGAGGAAAGTCAGCCAAATAGCTGCGAAACTCGTCCTCACGAAGACCAGGCTCCTTGGTAAAGCGGCTCTCGAGATGCCGCCGAAACGCCTCGCACATGTCGTCAGTGGCCTGAAGAGTACGTCCCTCCGGGGTTTTGACTTCAGGAATGTAACGATCGCCACCTCAACGAATCTCTTCCTTGTGCAGATCTGCGCCCATGTTCATAGCTTCGGAAGACATCTTGCTTAACCTATGTCTAATTACCTGGCCCATGTAGCGCTCGCTATTCAAACGCTCCACGGCCTACCTAGTAAGGCTATCTCTAGGGGATCCCTCCTAGCCACCGCCCGGGAAAGACTAGCTCTAAGCGTTCTCACCTTATGTTATACCATAATACCTATTCTATTGTAGCTAACCACCTTGTCACAGGGCCAGCTAAGAGCTCACGTCCACATTTTCCCCCTGGAGTGATCGACCCGGTATCTATCAACGAGACCAAAATCGCTGATCAGATCGACCAAGCTACGATCGCCCCTTCTCCCGCTAGTACCCCGCCCCCGATCTAACTTGCTGTCCAGGATGGCATTCCAGTTCCCCATTAGAACTAAGCGCGTTGAATCCACCAGGAAAGACTCTAACCGCCGAAAAAACGAGACCGCTCCTCCTGGTAAATGGGCGCATAAACCGCAACGACTCTGAACGATCCACTTTTCACGGCAATATCGGCCACGATCAATCGTCCCTCGTTATCGGTATGCACAAGGTCCACCTTCGCATCAAGAGTCCGCTTCACCAGCAAAGAAACTCCTCTGGCATGTCGGTCTCCATATGCTGAATAAACGACAAAAGTCGTTCTCCAGCAAACAAAGTGGGTCACTTCGATCGCGGCGATATCCACGCCAATTGACAAGAGATCCCGGAGCAGGCGGGCTGCCTTACCCCTGTGAACGTCCCCACTCCGCCTGCACTACTGGTGCCGATGCTGTTGTTTTTTCTGCTGTCTTTAGAGATTTTCCAATTTTACTGGGGCACTCTTTGGCCATATGACCCACCGCCCCACACGCCCAACAACACAACCTCTTTCCTTCTACGACGACCAACATTTTTCTGTCCCTACAGACTAGAATGTTTGGTATGTTCAAAAACTGCTTCCTGTTTAGTGTGATATGTACTTCCATATCACCGGTTTCTATACCGGCTTTACTCATGAGGGCCTTCACTTCGTTCACCTCGCCGAATTTGGCGAAGAAGGCCTCCATCCTATCGTCGGAAATGTCTACGGGCACCACATGAACGGTGGCTTTTGTCCTACGGGTGCCCATGTATTCCGTTTGCAAGCGTAAATTCTTCGTCGATAATACGCTTCCGGCTAAACTTATGGCCTGCTGCTCCGTTTGAAGTAATAGGTCCCACAAGACATTCGTCTTACGTGCCAGGACCTTGGGGCTGATGGTTAAGGCCTTAAGGGCTTCCTCCATAGTTTCCCTGCTGACCCCAATTAACTTGTGGGTTTTCATATCGGAAGTCAGCAAGGATATGGTGCGTGTATTGACTGCGGAAATCTCATTTCTTTTTGAAATAGTAGGTCTGATGAATTGCATCGTGATTACGATTCCAATGTTATAAATTATAACCATGGAATATTAGTGAATGAGCCTTTTATATTACATATATATATATATATATATGTGTGTGTGTGTGTGTGTGTGTGTGTGTGTGTGTGTGTGTGTGTGTGTGTCAGTACTCCTTTACATTTAACATGATCTGCAGAAGCAAGCATAGTGAAAAGACAATGAATAAACTTGGAGAGATACAAACAAAGAAAGAAAGAAAAAAAGAAAGAAAAAAGAAAGAAAGAAAGTAAAAAGAAAGAAAGAAAAAGAAAGAAAGAAAGAAAAAGAAAGAAAGAAAAAAGAAAGAAAGAACGAAAGAAAGAAAGAAAGAAAGAAAAGAAAGAAAGAAAGAAAGAAAGAAAGAAAGAAAAGAAAGAAAGAAAGAAAGAAAGAAAGCTTGTAACCTTTTGTCCGATTAACCTAAATCAGCTGCTTAAGATTTGGGCGCTTGATATAGACCAATAAATCATTAACTTAGCCCGAATACCTTGCGAGTGATTTCAATCCCTATTCTTCTGGTGTTTTCTTCCAACTTCGCCTATTCTCTCTTTGAGCGTCCTCTACTTGACCAGTTTTATAAAAACATCGTATTTTCTCCAAGAATCTTCCTCTTCCACTGCATTCAAGCTTGAAAATATTTCGAATCATTCTCGTACCAAAACAAAATATAAGGAGTTGTTCACTAGTCTCTCCGTCGCCGAAAACAAATTTGCCCGTCATTCGTCTAGTGATGTTTGATTGATTAGTCGGATTTGAACAGATGACAAAAAAATGCGAAACTCTGGGCCACCATTGCAGTCTTTTGTAATTAAAACATTTCGGCGAGTGAGGTTAGAGATGGAATGTTGTTTGGCAGATATGTTTAAAATGATCTTTAGACAGATTCTTGCATAGCTGGCCACTCGTATTCGAGGATACCCGTGTACTAGGGCTGCTAGCAAATCCCTATTGCAGACGCTTGCTCAGGCACATTTGTGTTTGTTCAACATTCACAGAGCCCACCTGCGGTTTATACTGCAACTATGCTGAGCAGACCTTAGTTACAGTATGTTAACTAGCGTGATCAACAGTCTGAACGGCCAAGTGTTCCGTCTAACAAAATTCACTAACAAGGCTTGGGTTAACTCGTGTATGGTTTTCGACACTTTCCAAAAGTGCCACACTCTGGGATCGCCCTCCTCCAGACCGATAACAAGAGGTCTCCTTCCTGACAAATCAACCGTATATATATATATATATATATATATATATATATATATATATATATATATATATATATATATATATATGTATGTATGTATTTAGGCAGCAATCCTTCTTTCATGCACATTTCACTGAAAACAACAGACAAGGTGCTTTTATTTAGTTTTTTATACAATTTCTCATGCGATCTAATTTTTTTTTTCGGATGATAAATTATATAAAACTGTCCGAATGTTCTTTTTATCCGAGCGCTTTCGGCTATACATTTAGCCATTTTCCAGGATTAAATATTTTAACTGTTGAATAAGAAATAGAAATTATATTAGTGTTGTCAATATAATAGCATCATCTACATGCAAAAAAGGCTAAAAATAATGGAAACCTTATTAATAAAAACAAAAAAAAACACTTAATAATATTAACTTTGAACATGGGCATAATATCTTGACCGTGTTTTGAAAAATGAAAACATTTTATAAAAAATACATACAACAAAATATTTCTTATTTAACAGTGTATTCCAGATATTGAGCACTCCATAAACCCATAAATATAGCATACCTTAAAACTATATATACATATGATAAGGAAAAAATAGAAACGTCCTTGACAATCTACAAATGGCTATATATACATTCATGTACAAATATTGTTCTGTTTGAAGATTTTAATGCTCATCAAGTTTAGGGGCTTAATCATTCATGATGTTGACTTTCTCTTTTTCGTTGTAAAGTCTCTGAGTCAAATAGTGGATCTCCCGACTCGTTTCCCTAATAAACCTGATCAATTCCTCACCTAGCTCTTTTAGAAAATTATAACTCGGTCCTCTTGGCAATTTGAATCATGCTGTAGTATATACTGATATTTAATTAGAGCCGTCAATTAGACAGGAACCACTTATTAACAAGTCTTCTTTCTGAAAGTCAGCGTATTGATTAGGGTTCATTGACTTTTTCAAGACGCCTCTTGGATTGATATTCTTAACCTTCCTAATGAGATTAAAGGTGTCAACGATCAGTGTTTATTTCTCGTAAATACGAGGTCAATATAAAATCTTCTAATTGGTATCTGTCTATTTATCTGAGATGAGGTATTATGTACATTATTTACATTATTCGGACTATTGTCCTCATCTTTGTCGTCATATTAAATTACAACGTTTCGGCCTTTCAGTATCTGGCTATATTTCTGAGATGAGGTATTATGTACACTATTTACATTATTCGGACTATTGTCCTCATCTTTGTCGCCATATTTATTACAACGTTTCGGCCCTTCAGTATCTGTCTATTTTTCTGAGATGAGGTATTATGTACATTATTTACATTATTCGGACTATTGTCCTCATCTTTGTCGTCATATTAAATTACAACGTTTCGGCCTTTCAGTATCTGGCTATATTTCTGAGATGAGGTATTATGTACACTATTTACATTATTCGGACTATTGTCCTCATCTTTGTCGCCATATTTATTACAACGTTTCGGCCCTTCAGTATCTGTCTATATTTCTGAAATGAGGTATTATGTACACTATTTACATTATTTGGTCTATTGTCGTCATCTTTATCGCCATATTTCTTACATCATTTCGGCCCTTCAGTATCTGTCTATATTTTTGAGATGAGGTATTATGTACACTATTTACATTATTTGGACTATTGTCCTCATCTTTGTCGCCATATTTATTACAACGTTTCGGCTTTTCAGTATCTGTCTATATTTCTGAGATGAGGTATTATGTACATTATTTGCATTATTCGGTCTATTGTCCTCATCTTTGTTGCCATATTTATTACAACGTTTCGTCCGTTGTACGCTCCGGCCTTCTTCATGTGGTTGGAATGTCGAACTGAACCCTTTGGCACAGTGGATATTCATACACAGATATCCACAAGTACATATGGCAGAGTGGATAAAGGCGTTGGTTAGATCCAGTAACAAGACCCAAAGAGTGCGAGTTCAATACCCGGTTAGGGCAGTGGATAACTTGGAGAGGGGAATTAACATGAGATAACTGATAACTGACATCCATAGATATGACACGTGGAACTAGAACAGTCTACCCCAGTGAGCGAAATAAAGGATTCAGTTCGACATTCCAACCACATGAAGAAGGCCGCAGCATACAACGGCCGAAACGTTGTAATAAATATGGCGACAAAGATGAGGACAATAGTCCGAATAATGTAAATAATCTTCTAATTGATTTACACCGGCCTTTTCAGTGTGTAGCCCATAGAAATCACTTTTTCGCCTGTTCTAGTATGATAGTTCCGAATGAGAAAGGCGCCCCATTTCGACAGTTAAAAATAATTTTAAACATGTCCTCGCAGAGATTAAATTTACGTTTTCTGATAGATTAAGTCACCGTATAGCGTCTAATAAGTTTGGTTTACGTGACTACTGCAGGGGTCTGTAATAGTGTCTCGTGTCACTTTACCTGTCGGAATAAAACAAAATCCGTTCTAAATATTCTCTTTATTTACGTTTGGATATGAAATCGTGCAAATATGAAAATTTCAGTAGATCTAAAACGAGAGATGTTTCGCTTAAATGTACAATTCGGGTTTTGCCTAACTAATTCTTCCTTTGTAGTGCATTTGGTCAAAGTGTATCGGATTTAACAATAACTCCCACTGCCCAGAAGGACCCAGATTCGAATCCTGGCAGAGGGCGTAAATTTTTCTCGAACATGCAGAACAGTAGACGAAAATAAATAATCATGTTTATTAAATAAACTGAGCTTCTACTAAAATATGAGTATTCACTAAAAATAACGTTTAAAGTGATTAATATATATTTCAGTCTGTTTCAGACGTGAACGCAATCTTCAGGCCATGTGTCTTCTATTTTGGCTCAACTATTTATATATTGCTTTAAGTATGTATTATGGGGATCAAGGTATATCGTAGTACCCTAACAATTATTGGGTAGGCGGTAACGGTTACGTTTCAAATTATTCTAGAGGCTACTGAATAGGAATAATGGTGAATCCCAATGCGGTAATCTTTAGCTATTTTATAAAGTTGATTGTTGACTTTATAGTCATTATTTATTATTAATTACATTATTATTTCTAGTTGATAATTATTCTTACATTTATGTGGGCATTCCTAGTTTGTTAATTTGTTCATTAATTTAAATTTTTTGTTTATTTTATTTTTTCGGTGGTTGGTCATATTTATTTAGTTCAAATTGTAGGCTTTATTGGCCAGGGGCATTGACTAACATATTCGACCCAAAAGAAGACACATAATCTGAAGATTGCTGTCAAGCATGAAACAGATTGTTAGGTTGTTGACCTCAATGTCCACTTTTATATTTGCATACGTTCTATCTCTGATACTGTTATGGGATCTTACCCATAATAATAATAATGGACTATTCCATACTTAATAAATACTGCGCCTCGGGAGTAGGCAGGGAGTCATTAATTCAAGTCGAGCCAGAGACAGTCCGAAACAGAGTCGCGTTCAGACAATTACTGCAAGACATTGGAATAGTGATACTGGTCGAGACTACATTGTTCTCTCTACTAAAAACCTGATTTTTCATACTAACACTTTCTACTTCTCTATATATTCCTGTTTGTAATATATCTGTGTTATTCCATACCTGTATTCGAGTTCTTCTTTATTGGTTCTACCTTGGACTATCACCGTGGTACAAGGAATCGGACCATAACGGATAGTGAGTACTTTTACACATAATATAGTGTTGTGTATGATACACCTAGTTTACATAAGTGGAGTACCGACCATATAAATATGGGTTGGTACCGGAAGACGACGGAAGATTAAGAGATCGAATCCAGAGACTCTGCCCGACTGCGACTTAGTCAACCCATTCTGCAGGAACAGTCTTCCCAAGAATATACCAAAACTACCTGTAAATATTGTGTACCTTTTTTCATTGTTTCAATACATTTTGTTACGTACATTTTGTGTTGTATTATTATTATTCCATGCTATTCAAGCTTCAACATATAGTATACCTTAAAACTATATTTTTATTATATATATATATATATATATATATATATATATATATATATATGTGTGTGTGTGTGTGTGTGTGTGTGTGTGTGTTATAGATAGATAGATAGATAGATAGATAGATAGATAGATAGATAGATATAAAGACAATGAGAATCTACCATTTACTCGCTATGAAGTAAAAGCAATAAAACCTACTGATAATGAGAGAGTGTCCTGAGTTAGCATGTTTATTTAAATGACCCTTCAAAATGCAACCGTTCACGGCTCTCCACAGATTCCTTTTTCTTTAATATCTACGAGTTCTTATGATTTCTTGAAAAAATAGTGGAATCGTTTCCTTCTCTCATTCTACCCTTCTATTTAAGCCATAGTTGGCAGTTGCTGGATCAGGTGGTTTCATGCCTCCTTTCCTAAGGGCATTTATGCAAACGTGAACGCAAGACTACGCTGGGATTTGAACACGGAATCCACTTTTATACTCATAACTGATACACTACACGCATAAGCTTAATTCTCAAATCTATGACTATATCCAAAGTCATTATCAGATAGGGTCACGGCTGGAAGAACAACTGCTTCTTTCTCAGCAGCAGTTGTATGAGATGATTATTATTAATATTAATTCGATAACCGACGTTTTGTTGTTTGTAAAATGCTCAAATTTCAAATCTAAATTGTTCGTCCATTTAATATACGCCATTTATTAGAAAATATATTCACTTCAAATGCAAAAAGGCTTATAAAAATGAATTCAAAGGGCGGCACGTTTCGACTTATATTCATTTTTTTTTCTCACCCAGGCATTATCGCCAGAATGGAAGAAAAATTAATCCCCATCACAAATTATTTCAGTTTCATTGTGCGGATGTAAATTTGTGTGGACTCATACATATTTTAATTCAATGAAAGATCGACAAAAACTTCTGCAATATGACGAAGAAATGTTTTAATAATTTTATTTATTAACGAATAATTATCTGATATTTTAGGCTTTATTTTTGTCTCTTATTTTATGGTATTATTTTCAGACAAGATTATCGGGTACGCAGACTTGAGTTGGAGGAGATTATATTATTTCACTATCTTATTTCAAACTCAGTCAAACTGTGTATGTATGCGTGTGTACATTTCTTGTGTATATATTAAATGGAACAAGCACATGTAAGTCACTCACGTGCAACACAGGCATATGCATATACCTTACGTAGGCGCATCCAAAGTCAAACGAAGACAGCGTGTGACGGACAGACAAACTGCTCTTTTTTATAATATAGATTATTATTATTATTATTATTATTATTTCCTTTGATTTCTGGTGTGTACATATTTCCGTGTCCCGCCCAGGGTTCAAAGGTCAGAAATGTCATCATGACGCTTTCCACTGTGCAATTAAAAGAACAACAACAGCAACACACATATTTTACATAGATAAAGCCCTTCGTAAGGTGCGCGCTGTTTTGAGAACAAGTTGTATTATTATCATTATTATTATTATTATTATTATTATTATTTTTCTTTGATTTCTGGCGTTTACACATTTCTTTCCGGGTCCCGCCCAGGGACCTAAGGTTAGAAATGGCAGCATGACACTTTCCGCTGACAAAAAAAAAAAAAAAAAAAAGAAATTACATAGATAAAGCCCTTCGTAAAGTATTAGCTGTACTTCTCAGAACAATTTTTTGTATCTCCTTGAGGCATGGACTTCCAGGAATCCCTTCAATTAGTCTACTGCAATCTTTTCCAACCATTCCTAGGGATCCAACTACAACAGGGATTGTTGATGTTCCCGTATGCCACATTTTCGAGATTTCTATTTCAAGGTCCTTGTATTTTGACAGCTTTTTCAATATCTTCAAAGATAGATTGCAGTCAGCAGGGACTGCCATATCAATAAGGATGCACCGTTTTTGTTTGTGGTCTTTAATAACAATATCTGGGCGATTATTATTATTGTTGTTATTGTTGTTGCTATACGCGTAAGTGAAACGTCCATATGAAGTCAATCTTTCAATATTTCTAAAGAGTTGTCAACACCTTTTCACCAATTATTCTTCCTAATAAAGATCGCTCTTGTATCGCCAATCCTTATCTGTTACTCGAGGCCATCTGTGAAGCCACATAACAGATAGAATTTCCCTTAAACTTATCAATACATACTGACCTTATAAACGTCATCATCGAACGGATTGAAGTGCATGAGTAAGATTTTCGTGAAATTCCCGAAGACATTCTCACGTGTGTACGTCAAGCTGTTAAATAACTTGATATTAACGCAGCACAAAGCGAAAGTAAAAGTAAAATAGACGGGAAGTAAGTTTTTACGCCATATTGGAGAGTTACTAACTGGCCTGAAAATGATCATTCACAATAACTGGATTTACTTAGGTTCAAACACCGACCACTGACAAAATGTTAATAACTTCTGATCCATCGAACTATTATATTAGTCTTGTGTTTGTGGACAAAATACAAAAGGCCCAAAGCATTTCTGCATTATTTAAATATCTCACTTCCTACGGCATTCATTTAGGTGAACAAGATTACTTTCATTTATCTAGGTCAACCAATGATATGTTAAAGGTTATAATTGAATCTGTCTATCAAAATTTGGATAAGACAAACGTGGCTCGGATTGTAACTTTAAATATCTCGAAGATGTTTGACGGGGGTTGGTATGCTGACCTTCTCCGTAAGAGCAAGACCTAGGGTCTCTCTCACTGAATATTCTATTTAATCCATTCGTTCGTAATGAAAACCGTGTTGAGCAGCCACACTTCTAGATACTTTCATATTAATACGTGGCCCCCATGAATCTATCTGTGGTACAACATTCTTTCTTCATCAGCGATATTCCGAGTGTCAACAATTACGAACTACGTTATTTATGACGCTACTGTTTACTCTTGTCTTATTAATAATCTGATAGGGTCCGACAAAGTAAACCTGGCAGCTGATCACGAAAATGACCTTCCAGCAGTTGTTAACTGGTGCAAGAAATGGCTTTTAAATCTTAACCCGTCCAAAAACAAAGTGTTATCTTTTAATCATCATGGTGAATGATTTTTGCCTTTTGTCGGTGTGGTTGGTGCTAACCTCAAGGAGAGCAAAGTCATTTCTTCTGACATGAAGTAGGGGGGACTATACGGAATCAAATGCTAGGTCTACTGATAGGAAAATTGCCAAATCTACCATTCGTCTGTGCATTGAACATTCCTGCTATACCAGGCCCGGTGCTCCGACTAGATATCTCGAGATTCCGTATCGTGGCTTCCCTGCGTCTTTTCTATATTTTCGTGACTGTTGTTCTAATGCGCTCTCCTTCTTGGTACATCGACCGCATGGATTTAAACGTAATACTAGATTGGCAGTTAGGTCTCATCGTGGAACTAGCAAGATGTAAGCATAACTTCTATTCTAATAGTGTCATTTCTCGCACTTCTCACGTATCGAGCTCTCTCCTGGTTTCTTGCTTCTCTGGCACTTCTGGTGGTCAAAAATTTAAATGCGACAACAATCACCATCTTCTCTCGTTCTATTAATTGTTCTTTTAATGACCTTTTTCTTCCCTAAAGTCATCTCATTATCATTCAATGACCCTCTCGCGTCTTAGTGACATTTTAGCCTTGCTTGGAATGAAACGATTTAAAATATAAAATACATAAATAATTATTGTATGTAAAAAAAAGTTTTTTTTCATCATTAGCTAGTGGACAATTGTCTAGCAAATTCCAGGCCAAAAAGGGAAAATATCAACTCTTCTTAGCTGCCAATTTTTCATATATAAATAAAGAAAAGGTATTTTTATATATAGTTTTAACTTTTTATATCAAACAGTAAATAAAAGTAACAAAAATCATATTCAGTTTCTAGATAATATAGCGACTAATAGTTCGCCATTTATTGGCTTTGCAGACACATACACACGCTCGTGAGCGCGTACAGGCATGTAGCCATAGATAGATAGATAGATATGAACAGACTTAGATAGATAGATAGATAGATAGATAGATAGATAGATAGATGGATAGATAGATAGATAGATAGATAGATAGTGGAGCCATAGGAATCAACACTGCAAGGTGACTAGCAGTTTCAAGATTCAATACAAAAGACCAATGTGTGTGTGTGTGTGTGTGTGTGTGTGTGTGTGTGTGTGTGTGTGTGTGTGTGTGTGTGTGTGTGTGTGTGTGTGTGTTTTGCTGCCAACAAATGTCTTTCACCTTCTAGTGCAAAAATAAACACTTACTAATAGGTATTGGCGGACCTAGATAAAGACGGGAAGCTCAGTCTATTTTGGTGATATTTACGCGAATTAGTAAAGGAATTCGCTTTTTCCTTAAATAATACACTGCACTATGAGTGAGATTGCTTTCTCACATAGATAGATAGATAGATAGATAGATAGATAGATAGATAGATAGATAGATGAATAATTTCACTCAACACTACAAGATGTTGCAAAACCAAACCATTAACCCAAGTACTCGAGCCATAAACTTAAATAGCCTCGTCGGAACTACGCTCTTAATCGGATGTTATAAATGGCGAAAAAGAAGAGAAAACATGCAGACGAGATGTTCACCTTGCAAAACAGCCCTAAACAAAAAAAAATAGCGAAAATCACGAGAAAGATCGATAACAGACAGTCGAGTTGAAAAATCTGTTTTCCTGAAAAATTGTTTCAGAGAAAGATATCATAAATTCTATAAACTTAAACAATGTTTAAAATCTGATAACAATAGATTTAAATTTTTTGCTTTTTAAATTCCTAAATTATACAGATTTTGACTCAGTAGACCCCCGCGTGTGGAGTTTAGGATCTCAGCCTCACCACTTTAAGGATTGATATTATGGTTTCATAGCAAGTAGGTTTTCACGAATTCCTAACCGCACACGACACCGGTTTTGAATTCAAAGTTGTCCTTTTCCTAGACTGATTGCCAAGCAAGGCTAGAGAGCCCAGTCTGCCATTAACCGAAAACAGTTTTAAGAAATGAATTCATGCATTCCCCAGGCTATCTGTGCAAAAATGTGATATTTGACTACGACACGCTGATCCTAATTTCCTCAAGAAAAGCCGCTATATAACAAGCACATGCAAATGTTACACGTAGATAGATAGATATGAACAGACTGAGATAGATAGATTAACAGACTGTAGATAGATAGATAGATAGATAGATAGATATAGATATGAAATAGACTGAGATAGATAGAGACTAGATAGATAGATAGATAGATAGATGATAGATAGATATGAAAGATAGAGATAGATAGATAGATAGATAGATAGATAGATGAAGAAAAAGTAGATAGATAGATAGATAGATAGATATGAGATAGATAGATAGATAGATAGATAGATAGATAGAGATAGATAGATAGATATATGAACAGACTGGGATAGATAGATAGATAGATAGATAGATAGATAGATAGATAGAGGAGATAGATAGATAGATAGATAGATAGATAGATAGATAGATAGATAGATAGCTACTATTCATGCCAAGTTTTCACTAACAGCACAGTCTACCATGCGAAAACCATTTACCGCCTACAAGTCTGCAACGCTGTTGATTTTTATTCGATTACTACGTAGATACTGCAGTTTTCGGCTATGCATGACCTCCCAAATGCATTATGTTCTAGCCACCATTTACGTGTTCAAGGTAGACATATCATCAGAGAAATGTAACGCGTGATTAACAGCCAATCAAAAACGCTTATCTAGATTTGACAACGATGACAAGCGATACTTTTATCTTGCATCTCTAAAGTGAATTCCACCAATCATTGAAGCAAAAGACAGTTTTTCAATTTAAAACTTCCTTGTTACAAATGGTTGAAAACATTGATTCTACCTGTAAGTAATATGCATTAATAAGATATATATATATAACATATTTATGCATGCCCAAGTGGCGGCCATTTTGTTTTTCAGCAAAAGTTAATCTAAGCGGATCAATTTCCGTTGTATTTAAATAAATGTTTTTGTAATTGTTTTCTTATTAAATTGATTCTACAGTGCATTTTACGAATACCAGCTGCCACTTTATCAATAATCCTATTCACTGCATCTAAAAGAATTGAATGTTATTTGCATTTTATTTCTATTAAATCCATATCCAAAATTAAATTAATTACTTGTTGAAAAAATAATAATCAAAGTGTTGATAGGTGTATTGAATAATGACAATGATTTACAACAGGGATTCTCAACAGCCGTGCTGCGGCATACCTGTGTGTCTCGCGATCCAATTAGGTTTGCCGGAAATGTATGATCAGATTGGAAGTCCTTATATAAATGTTCCTTCTAATACTAGACTTCAGTTATGTAAAGAAGAAGAATTGGTCACCATTTATAGTGATCGATAGACTAACACGAAAACAGCACATTCTTACTTACCATTCTTGCTACAGTCACCATAATGAAAACATATTCTTCAAGAAGTCCTATTTCCCAGATCTACAATTTATCTGGGAAAAGAGGGGAACAGCAAAAAAAAAATTAACCCTAATGCATATTTACAATGACAAGATCCTATTTACAGAAATAAACAAAATGGTATTAGCAGAACAATCTCCCACAATTGCTGTCATATATGTTCTGGTGCTCCCGCTGTAAGTCTCAAGGTCCTCGACAAAATCCAAAGACGAATATGCAAGATGATAGGTCCTGATCTGGCATCTAGTCTACAATCGACTATCTCACAGACATGCTGTGCCTTCCCTCTGTCTCTTCGATAAGTATTTTCACGGAATCTGTTACGACGAGCTGCTTTCGCTGGTCCTCGGACTACATGAATTTTAACGAGCTACTAGGCTGGCATCTTGGTCCCACTCTTTTACTGTTATAACGGTTAAATGTAACCGTCTCTTTTTCTCCCGTCTGTTGAACTCCCTTCCCCTTAGTTGCTTCCCCGATGACTATAATCTCCAAATATTCAAGTGTAATGTTAATCAACATCTGACACCCTGAACTTGTTCCCCGTTATTCTTTGTATCCTTTCCCCAAACATGCCTCTTTACTCTTGTTCTCAATCCTCTGTAACCTGCTTGCGTGCTAGTGGCACCCCCACCTTGCTTGGGATGAATTGCCTTAAAAAATTGTTACAGAAACATTAGTTAACCAGACGAAATTAATACAGGACTGGATACAATAATTAAAATAATCATTTTTACCAAACACGTACTCAGCCAACCACAACAGCAAACATCAAATTTACGCCCGAATAATAATAATAAAAACCCAAAAAGCATCCACTAGAGAACTGACGTCTCTCTAATCTAACGCGTGAGGTGATGGCGAAATATAAACTAAAAAAAGAGGGAGACCCCAAAACAGTGGGGCTTATAAAACATCTAATCTAAATTGAAAGGAAAAAACTAAAAGAAAATAAACCCAGACTACCCTATTTTAGACTGGGTTACCAACGTTCAACCCAGAGGATCATAATCCTTATGCCTAATCGATATCGAGATGCCACTCCAAGTCGATACATACGCGCAAGACCCAATCATCATTTGCCACATTACGATGAAGAGAGTCACCGCCTGAGCTTAACTTTAAGCTAATGCTTAAAGAACAATGCCAGTTGGGAAGAGGTAAAGTTCCCATTCTCATTGAATTCTTTCTGTCGCGCTGTTTACACCACGACTCACATAACATTTTGAAAGCAAAAGAACACATATTGCTCAGTCTTTGACAATAACGTTAGCTCTTTGTTACAGACAGAACTAGCTTGTAGGTCAAAGACCTTTCCGCGTACCATGTGAACCATGAAGTCATCAGTTAACTTGCACAACGGCGTACGATACTGCAATGAAAGAAGGACTCTTCAATGTTTTCCTCTGACAAACCGCAGCGAACTCACTGGCGAAATTGCCAGTCCCGCTGAACAAAGCCTCTTGCCGACCCAAAGGGTACTTTGCAGCACCAGCCAGGTCAGTATTGACTCATTAATAGTGGGAATTTCAATCCAGGTCCCATAGGGATAAAAAAAAATCCTGCTTCCACAGACCGAGATCATAACCTAACTCAGATCATAACCTTCCAACTAAAACATGATTTGAGAGGTCATCCGTCGCCCGAAAAACGCGTTTCGACGTTTGAGAGGTCATCCGTCGCCCGAAAGAACAAGATAGCGTTTCGACATTCACGATAGAAGGAACACTTGCCCCAGGGCAAACCAGACGGGTTTCCTCTAGCAAGGGTGCACAATACAAGAAGTTCTCGTCGGGAGGAGGATGGGCAGTAATATATAGCAGCTCGGAATTCGCCGTCAATCCATTACATTCATCCAGTTGGTAATAACATTCGGTCTAGGAAATAGCGATGTTAAAAGTGGCAAATTGATGGATGTAGGCATGATTGCCAGACCATCTTCAAAGGGGTGACAGGAACAGATCCCGTGACGTAAATAGCAGGACAGCGAGTCTTGACGTCCCACAAGAGGGAGAAAAAAACCCTTGCCAAACTATAGCATAGAAGACGTGCCTAAGCGTGTATGAATGGAGAGTCGGTAAAGGAGAATTGGGTCCACCTTCCTATTTAAAAAAAAATTCCTGCGGGACCACGGACGAACTACGGACTCGGCCTTCTCCAGAACCGCCGACCAATTGACTTGCAACTGGAGGTCAGAACCAAACCAGACACCGAGGAAACTTGGAAATAATAGGCCTGTAGAAGAGAAACCTCTTCCATGCGCCCAACCACAAAATCCGAAAGTAGTACTGGCTGTCCAATGAAGACCGAATGTTTCCCGGCTATCCAGTTTCAAAATAGTTAATAAATTATTCTTAGTCCTCAGGGTCCTGTAGTCCTGAATCAATTGTTTATATAATCACCTGTTCAATCACCGTTTCATCAGACTAACCTTGAGTCGCATCTCATCTCTATTGAATCTGCTGTAGAAATATTCTAACATGCCAATCTCGACACTGCTCAATACAAGAAGTGTCACGTCGTCGACAGGAGGCACGGTGGAGTAATATATAGCAGCTCGGATTGAGGAATCGGAGAGTCGAGTTCGAATTTCAGTCGAATCCATTACATTCATTTACGGTTTTTATCTAATACACCTTGGGAAAGATCAATTGCATCTTCATCTTTTTTTTGTCCCCCTGCTTCCTTATAGTCTGGTGGAAATATTCTGACATCATCCGGGGTGACACACACATTACACCTTGACCATCCTGGTTCTATAGCCTTGCAGATGTCCAACTGGTCTACCAATCAAAAAAGCAAATGACAAATGCGAAAAACTGAAAAAAACCAATGCTGGTGATCCTGTAAATAATATACGACAAACATGTATCGAAATTGAAGAAGAAGAAGAAGAATCAGCCATTCTAGAAAACAGAAACCAAAAGGATCAAGAAGAAGGGATGTGGCACATTTTTGGGAAATAATAATAATCCAATAATAACAATTGTAATTGGAGGCCTCGAGTTGGTTGGAAAAGATTCCAGTAGACTAATTGAAGGGATTCCTGGAAGCCCATGCCTTAAAGAAATACAAAAAATATTGTTCTCATGAGTACAGCCTACACCTTACGAAGGGCTTTATCTATGTAATATATATATATATATATATATATATATATATATATATATATGTATTTGTCAGTGGAAAATGTCATGATGCCATCTCTAACCTTAGGTTCCTGGGCGAGACCCGGAAAGAAATGTGTACACACCAGAAATCAAAGAAAATAATAATAATAATAATAATAATAATAGATATAAACTGTGCTGAAAAATTCCCGACTTTCTAAAAAATATGACTTTTGGTCAGATTCTGTGTAGTACTAAGAACTTTTCAGCGACCCATTTACATACATATGAACAGTTGATTGATTTGCGTCTTTACGGCTTATCACCCCTTTGTGGGTTATTGAAGACCGAAACAGCCTCTCAATGTAGGAGGGTGCTTACAGTACCCGGTATTACGAAGCGATTCTCTATTGAAATAGTAACTTGTATTGATGATGCATAATTTCGGTGATCGAACGAGGATCGGTGTTTACACTTATGAATAGACTGGGATGTATATCTATGTATCTAGCGAGCTAGACATCTATATATGATAGATAGATAGATAATAATAATACAACACAAAATGTACGTAAACAAAAGATTTGATAGAAAAGGTACACAATATTTACAGTTAGGTATTCTGGGAAGATAGATGGGTTGATTAATAGAGTCGGAGAGTCTCTGGATTGGATAGATAGATTTATAGATCGGATCCAGATAGATAGATATGAACAGACTATGATAGATAGATAGATAGATAGATAGATAGATAGATAGATAGATATATAGATAGATAGATAGATAGATAGATATGAACAGAATGAGATAGATAGATAGATAGATAGATAGATAGATAGATAGATAGATAGATATTTCGGAATAACTGTCAATGTTATTCAATTTGGTTTGGCGATGGGAACGCTATTTTAAACAGTGACAAGAAAATGAGTCCAAATGTCGCTTCCACAAGTGTCCACTAATGTCATTTTCGACACCGATAATCATTTCTAGCAGAAAAATCATTGGCCAGAATCAATGACCACAGCTAACCTTTCTCTTCGGCTAAGGGCGATGCTCTTTACTTGGCAACCACATTAACAATTCTATTGTACATGTCCAATAGACAAGGTCTTCTCATTTGCGCACGAGTGATCATAATCTTTAGTGACCACTCGTCAAATTCAGTCATCTGTAGATGTTTAGCTTTACAGAGATTTATCAATAATAAAGAGGATTTTATATTATATCTTGATCTATGAAATTAATTCTATTCTTCGTTCGATCACTCAGGCATGCGAATCGGGTTTCTTGAATTCTATCGATCTATCAGTTTCTGTCTAAGCCTGTTTATATTTAACGGTCGATCTAAGTATACGTATATCGAAATTTGTTTCTATCTATCGAAGTTTATTTCAAATCTGAATCTGTTTCTACCAATCGGTTTGTCTATAAACTTTCATCCGGGTACTGTGGTTGGGAAGATGATCACAAAGATTTTACGAGTAATTTTCATTTCAAAAGTTTCGTCCTAAAATGACGCCTTGTTAAAATTCAATCAAAGCTTAGCGAATACCAATATCGATTGCCTGACCTGTTCGTTTGCCTCTCCTCGTGTTTGTAAATATCTCCACAAAGGTCAGTCTATGAATTGAAGTCTGTTCAATTATATCGAGCCTTCTCAGTCATTTCATCTTTTCAGTGCGTCCCAAAATTATATGCAAATCAATAAAATTAGAATGAGCGTTTATAGGAGCGGAATGTGAAATCTGCGAGCAGAGTTCAAGTCCTGTCGTAATCTATTGCATTTACATCTATCTATTTCCGTCTGGTCATTATCTATCTATCTATCTATCTATCTATCTATCTATCTATCTACATCTATTCATTATCTGTATCTACCTAATTATCTATCTTCTTCCTTATTTATCTATCGATCGATTTCAATCTGTTCATATCTATGTCTGGTCGTTATTTACCTATCTTATATTATATATATATATATATATATATATATATCGATCTCAGTCTGTTCATATCTATCACTATCTGCTTATTATCTATCTATCGATCGATTTCAGTCTGTTCATATTTATCTATCTATCAGTCAGTTTGTTCATATCGTATCTATCTCATCTATATATCGATCTCAGTCTGTTCATATCTATCTCCGTCTGTATATTTTCTATCTTCGACTGTTCATTATCTCTCTCTCTCTCTCTCTCTCTCTATATATATATATATATATATATATATATATATATATATATATATATTATATATATATATATATATGTTCATTATCTATCTATAGTTCATCTAGTCTGTTCATTATCTATCTATCATCTATCTACCTATCTATCATTATCTATCTATCTATCACAGTCTGTTCTATCTATCTATCTATCTATCTATCTATGTTCATTATCTATCTATCTATCTATGTCTGTTCATTACCTATCGCTCACATCTGTTCATTATCTATCTATCAATATATGTCTGTCCATTATCTATCTATAGCTCACAGTCTGTTCATTATCTATTTATCTATCTATGTATCTTCTATCTCGGTATGTCTGTCTCTCTGTCTATCTATCTATTTATCTAAATAGAAGGCAATCTAAATGAGTAAGTACTCATAATTATAAACATTTTGAAAGACACCGTGTTGATTGTACTCTTCTTTCGATATGATTTTACGGGTGCGCGATTCCTGAGGCAGAAATTGCTAACAGACTGTTTTTCAACAGTCTGTTAAAAGAACAAACACAACCAAATTTTCACATTTGTAAAAGCTCACTTTACGGCAAAACATTTGCCATCATCATCCCAATAATGGCGTTTGCTGTTTTATGTTTATCAATTTCACTGATTAGCTTAGGGAAAAGCCTTGGTCTCTCCTTTTGACCATCAAAGAAACATCTGTCGAATATGACAAACACATTTTATATTTGACCCCTCCATATTTATTACACATTTCCAGTCTGTTTCCCAAGATTTTTATTATCGTAAATTTGCTTCAAACATGTCAGGTTCAGAAGTAATCGATCAAAAGAAAGATCCTTTATGCAGACGTTTATGTTTGGGATTACCTACTGAATTTAGTCATTAACACACTTGATGTTTGATCTCACTTTAGAGTTCTAAATTCTTGTCTTGGTTTGTTTACACCTGATTATTCTGACTATAAATAAAACTAACAATGTTTAGTGGCGTGTAGAATGTCACACCCCACCCATTAACAGAATTTTTAAATTTTGTTCTCATGTGTAGAACTCTTTCTGTCCCGTATTTGTCGAAGTTTTGTCTGACCTGTAGAGTTCGATGTATTCATTAACACAATTATCGGTGTTTGGTCTCATGTGCAAAGCTGTAGGTGTATTATTAAACACTTAGCGTTCTTTAGTCTCACATGCACAATACGATTTGCTCATTGACATTCTTGTCGGTGTTTAGTCTCACTTGTAAAATTTGAGTCTGTCGATTAACACGACTGTCAGTGTTGCACCTGTTCATTATTCTCTCTTTAAAACTGCACCTCACCTGTTCCATTTTTTTTTCTCTAAAACTACACCTGTTCATTTTTCCTGTTGATTTTCCATTTTCTCTTCTCTAAAACTGCACCTGTTCATTATTCTCTCTTTAAAACTGCACCTGTTCATTTTCACTCCTCTAAAACAGCACCTGTCCATTTTTTTCTTCTCTAAAACTACACCTGTTCATTTTCACTCCTCTAAAACAGCACCTGTCCATTTTTCTCTTCTCTAAAACTGCACCTGTTCATTTTTCTCTTCTAAAACTTCACCTGTTCATTTTCTCCCTCTAAAACTTCACCTGTTCATTTTCTCTCCTCTAAAACGGCACCTGTCCATTTTTCTCTTCTCTAAAACTTCACCTGTTCATTTTCACTCCTCTAAAACAGCACCTGTCCATTTTTCTGTCTCTAAAACTTCACCTGTTCATTTTCACTCCTCTAAAACAGCACCTGTCCATTTTTCTCTTCTCTAAAACTGCACCTGTTCATTTTTCTCTTCTCTAAAACTTCACCTGTTCATTTTCACTCCTCTAAAACTGCACCTGTCCATTTTTCTCTTCTCTAAAACGGCACCTGTCCATTTTTCTCTTCTCTAAAACGGCACCTGTCCATTTTTCTCTCCTCTAAAACTGCACCTGTCCATTTTTCTCTTCTCTAAAAAGGCGTTTGATAGGAGGTTTGATGTACCGACCTTCTTCGCAAGCTCAAGGGCTATGGCCGAATTCTTGATATGAGCCTATATTTTTTAGCAAATAGTGTATATAACAGCTTCATCTACTGCAAGGAAAGTTGGTTCTCTATGTCGTGCCAAAAAGCTTTTCTCGTCTGAGTCAATCCTTTAAATCATAAATCAACCATCCGTCATTTTTAAAATGGTTATAGTGAAATATAACAAAGATTAAAAATAATATCACCCAAATGTCCGCTAAGCCTTCGGTGGCACACCTCCACTCGATGGTCAAAATTTTTGATGACGTCTCTCTATAGTTGCTCCTCGATCTCACCAATATGCCTTATTAGCTCATCCTTCAGCTGTTGATTTGTTGTTGACTTGTTGGCATAGACCTTACTTTTGAGATGACATCAAAGGAAGAAATCTAAAGGCGTCAAGTCGCACGAATGCGGTGGCCAATTGACTTTGCTGTTTCGAGAGATGTTACGATCTGGGAAGTTCTCATTCAATAAAGCTATTGTTGCATTGGCTGTATGGCATGTGGCGCCATCCTGTTGGAACCACAAATCTTCGGCATCCATAGCATTCAATTCAAGTTGAAATTACCAAAGACTTAAGTTGTTAAATCTGAAAGAAAAAATCATTAGACGCTTAAACTTAATTCAAATTGAAAATCGGTCCCTATATAAACAATTCCATGTCAATTGTTCTTATGAACTTTCTTTTTTTTTTGTACTTCACCTTCATGAATTTAAGAATACTACTCGATTGGCAATTAAGACTTTTTTTTAAACGCTAGACATGACCGTAATGGCTTTTTTTCTTGCACATCCCACCTCTGAAACTCTCTTCTGGTTTCATGAACTAAAAATTTTATAACATTAAATGCAGCCTCAATCATATCTTCTGTCTTTCTGAATCCGGATCTTTTTTATCATTTCTCTTCATTAAAGCTATATTATCTTCAGTAATCCCTTGCGCCTTAGTGGCATTATTTCCTTGATTGGAGTGAAATAAATATAATAAATAAAAATAAAATGAATAACAGCCGGTGATTTGCCTCACCTGTAGAATTTATATCTGCAAAATAACGCATAAAGAGTTTAGTCTCACCTATCTGCAGAATAACGCACTGTTCGTGTTTAGTCTCATCTGTAGAATTCTATCTGCAAAATAACGCACTTCTTGGTGTATAGATTCATCTGTAGAGTTCTATCTACAAAATAACGCACTGTTCGTGTTTAGTCTCAACCGTAGAGTTCTATCTACAAAATAACGCACTGTTCGTGTTTAGTCTTACCTGTAGAGTTCTGTCTGCAAAATAACGCACTTCTTGGTGTATAGATTCATCTGTAGAGTTCTATCTACTAAATAACGCAATTGTTCGTGTTTAGTCTCACCCGTAGAGTTCTATCTACAAATAACGCACTGTTCGTGTTTAGTCTCAACCGTAGAGTTCTATCTACAAAATAACGCACTGTTCGTGTTTAGTCTCACCCGTAGTTCTATCTACAAAATAACGCACTGTTCGTGTTTAGTCTCAACCAGTAGAGTTCTATCTACAAAATAACGCACTGTTCGTGTTTAGTCTTACCTGTAGAGTTCTGTCTGCAAAATAACGCACTTCTTGGTGTATAGATTCATCTGTAGAGTTCTATCTACTAAATAACGCAATTGTTCGTGTTTAGTCTCACCCGTAGATTTCTATCTACAAAATAACGCACTGTTCGTGTTTAGTCTCAACCGTAGAGTTCTATCTACAAAATAACGCACTGTTCGTGTTTAGTCTCAACCGTAGAGTTCTATCTACAAAATAACGCACTGTTCGTGTTTAGTCTTACCTGTAGAGTTCTGTCTGCAAAATAACGCACTTCTTGGTGTATAGATTCATCTGTAGAGTTCTATCTACTAAATAACGCAATTGTTCGTGTTTAGTCTCACCCGTAGAGTTCTATCTACAAAATAACGCACTGTTCGTGTTTAGTCTCACCCGTAGAGTTCTATCTACAAAATAACGCACTGTTCGTGTTTAGTCTCAACCGTAGAGTTCTATCTACAAAATAACGCACTGTTCGTGTTTAGTCTTACCTGTAGAGTTCTGTCTGCAAAATAACGCAAAATAGATTCATCTGTAGAGTTCTATCTACTAAATAACGCAATTGTTCGTGTTTAGTCTCACCCGTAGAGTTCTATCTACAAAATAACGCACTGTTCGTGTTTAGTCTCAACCGTAGAGTTCTATCTACAAAATAACGCACTGTTCGTGTTTAGTCTCACCCGTAGAGTTCTATCTACAAAATAACGCACTGTTCGTGTTTAGTCTCAACCGTAGAGTTCTATCTACAAAATAACGCACTGTTCGTGTTTAGTCTTACCTGTAGAGTTCTGTCTGCAAAATAACGCACTTCTTGGTGTATAGATTCATCTGTAGAGTTCTATCTACTAAATAACGCAATTGTTCGTGTTTAGTCTCACCCGTAGATTTCTATCTACAAAATAACGCACTGTTCGTGTTTAGTCTCACCCGTAGAGTTCTATCTACAAAATAACGCACTGTTCGTGTTTAGTCTCAACCGTAGAGTTCTATCTACAAAATAACGCACTGTTCGTGTTTAGTCTTACCTGTAGAGTTCTGTCTGCAAAATAACGCACTTCTTGGTGTATAGATTCATCTGTAGAGTTCTATCTACTAAATAACGCAATTGTTCGTGTTTAGTCTCACCCGTAGAGTTCTATCTACAAAATAACGCACTGTTCGTGTTTAAACCGTAGAGTTCTATCTACAAAATAACGCACTGTTCGTGTTTAGTCTCACCCGTAGAGTTCTATCTACAAAATAACGCACTGTTCGTGTTTAGTCTCAACCGTGAGTTCTATCTACAAAATAACGAGTTCGTGTTTAGTCTTACCTGTAGAGTTCTGTCTGCAAAATAACGCACTTCTTGGTGTATAGATTCATCTGTAGAGTTCTATCTACTAAATAACGCAATTGTTCGTGTTTAGTCTCACCCGTAGAGTTCTATCTACAAAATAACGCACTGTTCGTGTTTAGTCTCAACCGTAGAGTTCTATCTACAAAATAACGCACTGTTCGTGTTTAGTCTCACCCGTAGAGTTCTATCTACAAAATAACGCACTGTTCGTGTTTAGTCTCAACCGTAGAGTTCTATCTACAAAATAACGCACTGTTCGTGTTTAGTCTTACCTGTAGAGTTCTGTCTGCAAAAATAACGCACTTCTTGGTGTATAGATTCATCTGTAGAGTTCTATCTACTAAATAACCCAATTGTTCGTGTTTAGTCTCACCCAAGAGTTCTATCTACAAAATAACGCACTGTTCGTGTTTAGTCTCACCTGTAGTTCTAACTACAAATAACGCACTGTTCGTGTTTAGTCTCAC